ATTGTCTCTCTCTCAATTTTTTTTAGCTCTACTTATTTTGTAAATACTAGTAGAAAGTAAAAAAAAAAAAAAAAAAAAAAAAAAAAATGCTAACTGTACTTATTTTTGAATTTTTTTAACACAATAAAATGGAATACTTGAACAAACTCTTACTGAATGACAGAAAGAGAAATTATGTCGTAATAAGATGTAGGTTAATAGAAAGAAATCAAATAATTCGTTCTAAATATTAAAAAGGCATTCAAAGAAGATGGGTACTATTGAATATTCCAGTAAATTTTTACATTATCTTATCTCACGACATTTTGTTGATTACCATATTGATCAAATACGTAAACATTTTAATTATGAATAAACACATTTTACTGGAACTCGAATCACTGAAATAAAATCATTTGAAAAACTTTCTTTATAAGTTTTTTATGCTTTTAGCTATTAGATTTTATCCCAATTTTAATATTCCTAGTGCTTGCAAGTAGATATAAACAAAGTAAATTTATACAAATATTTAATGCGGTAAATAAAGTAATTAGGTTCTTTACAATTTGTCTGTGCACAAAAGGATTTAAAAATATTTATTCAAACTGTACTTTAGCAATTTATTTAATCTTATTAACCAAAACCCCGTATGCATTAAATGTACCTCGGTTAGGTAACTGCGAATCAAAATAGTATATTGTCCTATTTTTTAGAATTTCATTTTCAATTTATTTCATCCGCACGGCTTAAGAATGTCATCAGTTTGTATGAAAAATTAAGTATGAAAAATAATTTTTTAAAAAAAAATCCCAGAATAACAAAAAATGCCTTACGTAGAAAATAAAAAATGTACCCCCAGACACAGAATTTTACGCTGCAGTTTAGTTAAAGTATTTCTTAAATAATTTTAGATAACTTCTTAAATTTCAAATATGGCTATAAATGCAATTCTAGATAATTTTTAACGTTGATCATGCACCTTATTTATATAATGGAAGAAATTGTGGCATTTCAATTAATAATGTAAGAATAATAGCAGATAAGCATTTCAGAGCTATTTTAATAATTAAGTTTCTTACCTTAATTTGTAATATATATAAATCCTGAGTAATTCACATAATCCAAAGGCACTGCAACACAAAATAACAAAAAATGAAAATTTTAGCGCTATGTTGATACAGTATTTTATCCCGAAATTTTACTGAGTCAAACTACTTTGTGCGTTTACTAAAATTCAGATACACAGGAGAGGAAAACATGGAGAGTTGTCAGCTGCTGAAAGTGGGTGGGTCGAAAATCCCTCCTACTAAGATTTTTGAGATATCACAAAGGGGGTTAGAATACAATAGAGTCAAAAGAATTTGATCTAGAAAGATTGTTCTTTCAGGAACCTTCCGGCCAATCACAGTGCAAGTTTGCAATAGTCCGCCAGAAACACTACATGGCAATTTAAGTAGGAATGGAAATATTTTAGAGAGTGAATTGTAATCGGGTAATGATGTGCGTAAGATCGTATAGGGGTGCAAAATCTTAGGACAACTTTCCTCTCTGTCTACAGTTTGACACGCCTTCTTCGACCTGAAGCCATTTATATTTTACAGCGTAATACAAGTGTTACATAGAAACTATTGGATGGCTTGTGCCATTTGTGATTTTTATTGATAGTATTTCAAATCATTTAAACGTTCTGAAACTTTTATAACCTGACAGATAAATTCATTTTCATTGCTGAACTTCAGCAATATAAAACCGTGATAAGTTTTATATTCATAAATCTGTTTTAAGAATACTTTTAAGGTTTTACGAACATTTTTTAAGTAATTCTATACTAAAGCTTTATAAATAAATAATACAAACGTTTTATCTCAATCGTTTTTTATATGAATTTAAATGTGCACTTATCTTTATACATGGAAATGCATAAATTATTTTAAAGCATTTTGCCTCGTCTTATGTAATAATCTGGGCAAGAAAAACCATAATTGTCTACATAAAATTTAAAGATGGAAGATTATCATAGTTTAGATTTATCATAGTTTTAGAAATCATGATTTTTTAACCACTTGTTTTTAAATGGGCAGAAAGAGTTTTCCGTGATTTTGCTGTGTTTTCTGTTTTCTTAGTTTCTTTTCAAAGCCTTATATTAAAGGTTATAAAATGCGCGATCTCTGCATTCTAGCCCATTATAACATAATACAAAATTCTAGCCATAATTTCATTGGTCTTTAATTGCTTTTGTATTTTCAAATCGATATAAATTACAAATCAATAATTACAAAACCACAGAAATACATACATTTAAATTTGTGTATAATAAAATTTGTAAAATGACATTGAATTTGTGCGGAAGTAATTTTTTTCTCATAAATGTTCCAAGCGATATGGCCTTATATTAAAGGAGCGATATGGCATTATTATTGTTATGGAGCATCTCATGGAGCTACAAGAAATGATATGTATTAGTTTTTTTACTGCTTTGTGAAAGGAACTTTCATTGCTATTTTATTAATATGGTTAGTTTAAAGCTTAATTAAATTCTTATTTGCATGCTTAGTTTGTAATCAAATTGTAAATCTCATTTTTGATATCTAGGTCCAGGATTTAAACACCGCAAAATAATATGCATGAACTGATGAAATACTCTTAGGGTACAGCTTACTTTTGTTTCTTGGATTTTCGTATGTTTGCTTGTTGATTAAGCATTCAAAAATATTCAAAGTGCATAATTATATATATTGTCTAACCACTGCACTTTAGTTCTGTTACTTTACTGGAAGCATTCGAAGGAGAGAGGAAAAGATGCGTTGCTAATAGGATGAATAGATATAGCACCTCAAGTTAGAACGTTCTTTTTTAAAAATATATTTAGAACATGTCGCAGCGCTTTTCATCCCTACTTGAAGTCAGTACTTTTTCTTCCTACTTTGATTTATTTTCTCTCTCCTCCGTAAAGCTGATCAAGTAACTTCTATTTTTATGTTTAGTGATAATTAGATTATGAGGTATGCATGTTACGGAGCAAACTGAGCATTCTAGAATTCGTTATATCAGCTAAAGGGTATTTCTGCTTAATATTAATGAAGCATTTTTTGCTTAATGCTTATAGAAAAATTTTTGCTAATGTAATAGTTTCTGCTTAAGGTTAATAAACGAGTATTGGGTTAAGTACTTTTCTTTCTAAACGCGCTTAAACTGGAATGCTTCGCAACCTAGAACCAAAACTAGGTATCATCTATAAATAACAAAAGTAAATAAATGATCCTGTCATGGATATAAAATATTACCTTAATAGATGGATTTGATGTATGCGTAAACATAATGAAAAAGATTTTATAATTTTACTGCGGGAAAATAACATTTGGATTCGATTTATGGACACTTTGTAAAGTGTTTGAAAGTTTAATACCAAAGGAAAAAGTTTGGAATATGTTTCCGCTACATCACTGGATTCATTTTGGAGATTTCATTTTTCATTTTGGAGAACGAAAATTTGATATCTATCATTTAATCCAACAAACTTTTCTGCTTAATACTCAAATATTTTGTGGAATAAGTTTCTATATTTACTAAACGGTAATATTATAGCTTCAGAAACGAACATTATTTGAAAATTTCCTGAGATATGCGGTTTATCGAATTATCTTATTCTAAATTCAAATACAGAATTTTACACAATGTCAAAAAAATTAAGTAATTATTGTTGCGGCATTTCCCCTCCTTAGCTATTGTCATTCAATGTTCTATCTTTATTAAAATTACTAAAATATATTATTTCTAATACATTTAATTAAAATTATGCACATAAAACCTACATTCATTGATAAACACATTTTTTTTTTTCCGAGGAGGTAGGAGCTTCAGATTAAAAAAAAAAAAAAAAAACTTCTAAATGTCCTCTCGAAATACCGTTTAAAATTTACGAGTTTTCAGATTAGGTGTGTAATCAATTAAAATATTTAATTCATTCCTTACTACATATATTATGTTTATGTAATTCAAATGATTATATAAATGTAATACTTATTAAGTGCTCGTAAGCAAATTATTCTGTTCCATTTCAACATCTTGCAGAAAACACAGCCAACTCACAGAATGTAAATTTGTCTATTTGAAAACGAAAGGAAGAAATGAATTAAATGTAGCCCTAAGCAGAATTTTAAATATACTTCATAGCAGGTGCTTGCTAATATATTGTCTATCGCAGTTTAAAAGAAATAAATTTAAATTTTTGAAAATACTTTAAATTATTTTAACGTCAGTGAGCTAGAGGATATTTTATCCAGCTGTTAAATTTTGCTTAAATTTTTTTTTCCATCATTTCCTCATAGGATTTCATTTTGTCATTGATCTAAATTCTATCTAAATTTTTATTTTATCTAAATCTCAAGCTAAATTATAAATATGGGTATGCCGCTGAAACTTCCAGATGAATCTGAGTTTATCATAGAGACTTTATTCTACGGTTGCAGTTTTCTTCATTTTGCATTAATAATAAAATGCGGTTTAGGTGCGCAAATGTTTGCACAGATGTCAGTCCTATGTGTCGTCATACCACTGCGCGTCATGCCAATGAGTGAAAGTATTTCAAATAGACTAATTTTGGAACTGTGGATAAGTAATACTCAAGGTAGTATTACAATTAAAAAGTTTATAGTAATACTTAATACTGATCGAAATAAACTGAAACATTTACAACCAGTATTAATCTTTTAAATTCCAAGCAGCTAAAATTTAATTCCGGATGTTTCAGTAATAAAATTAGCTACGTTATTCGTAAATGAACAGGAGCTACATTTCTAAGCTAGCACATTGATTACATGTAATTTGCTTATATTTAGCTTTTTTTAACAATTTTAATTAATTTACTCGAAACATAAAACATAAGGTTTTTCTTGATAAAACTCAATTCAGATCTATATATATGGAATTTAAAGTACAAAAAGTCTATAGTTTTGACTATATTTACTTTGCACGCAAATAGAGTCATTACACACAAAAAGTACATTATCTCTTATCTTTTAATGACCTATTATTTTGGGGAACAAATTAGTGAACTACATTCGAAAGAAAAGTGAGCGCAACTTGCTTTCATAATTACACAACATTCTCAATTGCCTCTCGAATATATAAACATAAAAATTACATTTATGCATATTAACCTTGAATTATGTACATCTCCCTTTCCTTTCTATAAAGAGGACTGAGCCGTTATTAAGGCGGCCTTAAGCCCGGAAGTAAAAATCTACTATTGCAGGCCATCGAGGTGCGACTTCCTTATTAAAACTGAGATGCTATAAATTCCGCTCAGATGAATGTATTCCAAGCTAAAGGGAATTATTACAGTGAGTCCCGCAGTAACTGTACATTTTGAGAGTATTTTTTGTTTCGCCAATGTAGAGAAATAGAAGTTAGGTACAAGAGAATATCCATTTCTATGCGTTTTATGTCTCGTTTATCACAAGTCTGGATCGGCTTGCCCGCATAGTTTAATTACATGGGTTATTTTCGTTCACCTCGTAAAGTGCTTGTCATTGAAGGTAGCTAGACCGTTCATCAGAAATCCCGCTGCGTGCTGTAGAGCAGCTAGACTGCTGTCTCCAAAAAAGAAAAAGGCAAGATCCGCTTCATAAATTTGTCGTTCGAGGAGAGGAATTGCTACTTGATAATCTTCATAGATAGCTATGCTTGTTTTAGTTGATGCGTCAGCAATGCAGACCCTTTCTGAGGTGGTTTCTTATTACGGCATTCTGCGCCTCTGAAAGAGAAAAATAAGTTAAACATTCACATTTGTATCAATACATTTTCTTACCCAAAGAATTTTATTGGAATTGAAATATAGCTTTAAAGTAAGCAGACTTAAATGCAAAAGAGATATAAAAGGTATTTTTCCTTTATTAGAAAAACGTCGGAAGCAAATGGAACATTAATAAATACTATGCATGCAGTTTATCTTTTAGTCATTAGGCGTTCTCCCTTTAGTTCTTTTGAAATATAAATATACCATGACTAGATATACATAAATACATTCATATACAACCGAATTACCAAACGCCTAATAGAGAATCAACTGTAATAGAGAATAATTCGAGCATTTAAGAGATCAAAATAATGAAGTAAACTATTCTCTTTTCTTGTACGAAGCTCATTTATGAAAGAAATTTAATCAATTAGATATAAATAAATATAAGTAATCGATTTTTCTTTAACAGCTGATTTCAGTTTTACTCTGTGCAATTTTACGAAATACAGGGAATAAATTTTAAAATGCATTATCTAATAGAACCATTTGGAGTATCTATTTTACTTAGTAAAAAAAATAAGCACATTTTTTGCAAGGGGCGGGAGTAATTAACAAGATCTGGATAAAGGCTTGTTAAATTAGCTTTGCTTCTTTCACCAAAGGATACAAAAAAAATAACTACTTAATTTGTGCATATGAATATTATAACTGATGCATTTCAACAATTCTTAAATGAAATTTAACAGTTTTTTATAATGGTAATGTCTTCTGTCGTCAAGTGAATGTGTTCTCTCCTCTGAACATATATCCTATAAAAGAAGTATAGCATATTAGAATTTTATATTTTCGGTAGTGAAAGAAATTAATTAATTAATCAGTAAAATTTCTCCAAATACATATTATTACAATAGTAGAGTGAAAATTTCACGGAAGACACAAATGAGCATTTTATACGAGTACTAGTCTAACAAAAAGTGTTGCATTTTATAGTAACCTAGTCTTTTATTTTACGCAAATTTTGCACTAGGAGTAACCAGTCATTAAATTTCATGAGATAATAAAAATTTTAAAGAAAATAACCTTAATAGATAATTAATTAAAAGCGACAAACTAACTGTGATTACGATGAATTAATGTTTCATTTCCGCTATTAACACTAAAAAGCAAAAGCATATCGACAATTGTTTTTCATCATCCGCATAACAAATACCGATACGAAAAACGCGCGTAAAAGAAGATTCTTTACGTACCACATTCCCCCTCCTCATTCTTATTTGCTAAAATACAATATTTTGTGAAGTTATAGCTTAGTAACTAAGATAAACTGTTTTAACCAAGAGTGGTTGAAAGGACATGATCATGCAAAAAATTTTCATGAAATACTTATAATTTTCTTATATTTTGAAAAGATCTTGCTAGAGCATATAAAGAAATGTAAAAGTTAAATAATATCCAAATTTCATTAGCGCTGATCAGCATTTAATCTTGTACATATGCAAGAACTGAAGGAAAAGCAATAACTGAGAGCATAATGAATTAAGATGGAATTACAAATTAATACTTTACATATTTTAATAAAATATATACGTTGCATAAATTATAATACCCCTTTAATATATTATAGGAAACTACTCTACTGCACTGAGAAAATGATATAATGCTATTTTCTTTATTTGCTTTACTTAAAACCCTTGAATTTCCCCACAAGAATTTCTAAGAAAATGATTTTCAATCTACCTACTTTGACAGATGTTCCGTAATATGTTTATGTATATATAATGGGTAACGCAACAAGAAAAATTATTTGAATAAATTAAAAATCGTATATGTTAATACCAAATGATAAAATCCGGCTCTTTCCTGTTTTTCTACTGTTTACAATATTCATATTCATAAAGCTTCCATACGATGCATTTATTCTTTGTGGTCTTCTTAGTTTCTTACTTATTCCTGCTGAAAAAGAAGTATAAAACATCAATTTCAAGTTCAAAACAACACAATTTCAATCAATGTCATAATAAAAATAACTCATTAACATAAAAATGAAAATGCAGTTTTCCTCTGTGACAAAATTACTAAGTTGAAATTTTTTTAATCCGAATCTCTTTCCGGTTATTTATGCGAAATGCTTTAAAATGTTAATCATCATGATAAAAAAAAAATCCGAAGGAACTTAAATAGAAATTTCACTAATAAGTTTCACTGAATAAGCTCTCGTGCTGCTAAAGAAAGCAACATACCCAAGAACATAGTTTTTTTTTTTTTTTTTTCTCAGACGCACTTATACAAAATCAACATAATAATGTTCGTTAAATCAGTTATAGCTTCAATCAACATTTTGATTTGAATTGCTGGTCACAAAAAGAGAAATAATTCGGCGATTTATAAAAAATGTTGCAAAAAACGTATTCCTCAGTTTACAGCGCCAAATCTTCTGTCAATTGAAGAATGCTTTTAACACCTGACAGAAGAGTTTAACCAAGCATAAGAGGTCATTTTATGAGGCTCAACAATATAAACGTAATCTTCTGACAGAGTGTAAGTCTTCATCTATTCGCCTACATATTCTGTTAATGTTCAGAGAAACTATAAGTGTATATGGTATGAAAGCAGAATAATGCGAGGAAATTTTGAGCATTTTAGCATGCTTATGAATTAGCAATAATGTTATGCTCCTTTGTTTATGAATTAGCAATAATGTTATACAGAACTGAAAATTTATCAGAAATAAAGTAAAATGATATAAATTCTACACTTCATACGTTAACGTATATCATGTATGCTAAAATGCTTTGTGGTAAAAGACTATAAGCTTTAGTTGTTGAATATTATCGATATTTTAAATTTTTAACTAAATAATAAGAATAAAAATCACATATCGAAAGTGAAGAGTCACGTATGGATGACATCGAAGTACGAAAACCGGATTCAGTTACATCTGATCAAAATCCACTTAAATGTATATCTGCTCATGTGCTCTGAAGCGCAGTGGAAAACATCCATTGTTTTCAATGGTCCATAGCCTGTCAAGGACTTTAATATTTTCACTACTGCTATACATTCCATTGAAAAGAGGCAGTTATACGAATTTAAAGACTGTTTTATTGCCTGTCTTTACAGATGCAATTTATTGTTCGATAAAATATAATATAGCGATTTCTGTGAATAGGAAACATAAATTTTATCGAAGAGCACATAGAATAGCTTAAAATTTCTGCCCTGAACACAAAATATAAAATCTGATTGGCACGAGCTGCATTTTAAAAAATGGATCTTTTTTAGGCTTAGTCTGAATTTTTTAACAAAGTTGAAGAGTTTATTCATTTATTACCCGGATGAAATACTGAAAGTCAATAAGTCATTAAGTCAATAAAAATAATTGTAATGTAATGTGTAGAATATATGCTCTAATTTTTATGAAGTTTTCCCATTTGAAATTTTAATGAACTCTTCCAAAAAAAAATTGTCTTTGCTTTCAAAACTTGAGTAAAAAAAGAAAACAAAATACATAGAATTTTAGAACATTATGTTTCAAATAGTACAGTTTTATCTTTCAGGAAATAATACAATATTTAACATGAAACTTCGCTATCATAGCATACGCTCTGCGTTTGCTTAAGAATTCAATTTTCGATCAGTCTCACCAAACGTTTCAAATTAATGCTAATAATTGCTAGCTAATAATTGTCGTTTGACTGAATAATTTTAATCAAACGACTGAAAAAATTTGATGTGGACACCATATCATTTGCTTGTACGGCCTATTAAATTATACACAGTTTTTCCTGCACTTCATTTAAACTTATTTCGTCGAATAATTCTAACTTGAATAATCGATCCTTAAAGGCAAGTTGAAAATAACATCAAAAATTGCAAATCTTAAAATTAAATATCCTGGTCAATTTTTGTCATACGTGAGTCAAACTTCTTCCATTTTTATTTTTTTCATAAAAAAGTATGAAAGCAATTCCCTAAATATAAGTATAGGAACCGGGAGACCGAATTGAAAGTTAGGTTTCGTTATTTGTCGAAAATTACTTTTCTGTTAAATTTGGCATTGCTGAAACATGAATGTTTGCATCATTTAAAATGCTTCTGTAACTAGAAGTATGTAACTGTGACCAACGATTGCGAAAATAAAGGCCGGGTAAGGAGTGGTTTTATATATATGTGTGTGGGGGGTCGGTTTTGCTGATTGCAATAAAAAAGAAAAGTACACTACTAGATGTTATACTAGTCCCATATACAAAATTTCAACGTTCTACGACTAACTGTTTTTTGAGTTATGCAAGGTACACACATATATACATGCGTACGTACAGATGTTACGCAAAAATCCCTTTTAAATCCGCTTTACATTTTACAATCCGTTTCTGAGAAAACAGTCTTTTATTCTGTGCGCACGAACAGATATCACACAAAAATAGTAGTCCAAATGGATTCGGGAAGGATGAAAATAAATATTTCTCTTGTAATATGATACCCGAAAATTTTCGCGATTGCACTACTTCGTAGATGGAAATAAAAAGAAATAATTTTATCTCACAATAACTAATAATAAAATTATTTTTATTTAATCGTAAGTAAAAGCGTTAAAATCACTGTTATAAATGCAACGCAGATTATAAACAATTATTTGTATTAAATGTTATGTTATTCGAAATGGAAAAATGAGAAATTTTAAATATTGAAGATTTCAGTTTTAAAATAAGTGCTTTGATAATCGGATGAAGATATGAAAGAATAGCCATTTCTTTGCTTAAAATTTCGAATTACTGTAATTTACCCGAGATAAATGTTTCTAACAGAATACTCTATCAATATATTAATATATTTCTTAATGTACTAAAACGCTACTCATAAAATGAGCGTTTTAGAAATGCATTAAAAGTAGTCGAAAAGAAAAGTGAGTTTTAACTGATTTTCCTACAAGAGCTGGAAGTGTCTACGAGCTTTTTCGAAACAATTTTCTCTATTTCCTTATATCCAGAATTTTGAAAAATCGTTTATAAAGAGCAGTGTTGTATGCAATTGTTCTACGTTTGGTAACTGGAAATAAATAAAGCATATTACGGTAACACCTTTAAAACACAGTATGCAATATTCCATTAAATAAATAACTGATTAAAATATGAAAAGAAGGAAATTCAAAAGATTAAACACCATTTTGAAATTGAAGAAGATAACTCGAAATTTTACCTCAGAGATTTAGAGCATTTCGAAAGATTTCAAACTTTTATAAATACCTCTTCATTTAAACACAAGCATTTGCTAGCTGTTTTGGTAAGCTATAACACGTGTTTCAAATTAATAGCTTTACTATACAGAGCACACTAACTATATTATCGAAAGTAAATTTCGTTATTTTCGTATGGATGTTCTACAACCAAAATAAGGCAACTGTTATTGATTCATCGAATAAATATTTTAATAGCTTCATTGACAATATGTTCACATGACAATTTATTTATGACAATTTATTCACATAACATATTTACAATATGTTTCGATGTAGTTCAGAAGTAAAGGTTTCTGTGACTTTTTAATGAAAATAACATGAAATTTTTGCATCAGTCATATTTATTTGAATTTGCTGGTTGTTGTATACGATGCAAGTACCCTGCATCCTCTTTCAGATGACTCTGATGGAGCACAAAATGTTTCCTTTTCATTGTTCCTTCAACCTAAAGAAGCTGCGGAGAACGTGTTATATCCAAAATGGATTTTGATGGGTAAGCCTTCTGTAAGATTGTGAAAAGCCAATTCTGCATAGCGCAATCATAATTCGCATCCAACATGCCAGGAAATAATCGATGTAGCGTTAAAAACTCAGACGTTAATTGAAGCAAAAATTCAAAATTTTGTGAAGATGAACGAAGATTAGTAAGATTGTGGTCCCTTAAAAAGTCTTAAAGAAGCTTATACGCATTTCATAAACTATACAGACCTATTTTTAGATTCAGTTAGTCTCTTTTAATTTGGGAAAGTAATTTCCTTTTGAGGTAACTGTCTTAGTCACAGATAAATTATCTTTTGGTGGAAATAATTTTACACATTTCTTTCATATTCCTGTTATTAAGTTTGTGATGTTCTATAAGCATTTTAGCGTATGTGAACGTTTCTTATACAAAATACAGAGTGGTCTGAGGTTTGAAATTAAAACAAAATAAAATTACAGTATTTTAAGTGGGGTTTTTTTATTTACCTATTTTTAGATTCAGTTAGTCTTTTTTAATTTGGGAAAGTAATCTCCTGTTGAGGTAACTGTCTTAGTCACAGATAAATTATCTTTTGGTGGAAATATTTTTACACATTTCTTTTATATTCCTGTTATCAAGTTTGTGATGTTCTATATGCATTTTAGCGTATGTGAACGTTTCTTATACAAAATATAGAGGGGTCTGAGGTTTGAAAATAAAACAAAATAAAATTACAGTATTTTAAGTGGGGTTTTTTTATTGAAGTATTTCAAATATCTGTTATTTTAGAAAAGGTCTTTTAAATACTGACGTTTATACAGCTCCAATTGAAGCGTAATTATCAGAATATGTTGCTCTATTAAACATGTCTTTAAATTTATACTTCTGCCTTTCTAGAAGCTAAATGTACGATAATAGTAATTAATAATCTGGATAATGCGTTCAATGTTAAGTAGAATAAATTAAGCAGAATAAAAAATAAAAATAATAACTAGGATAATACTTAATTTTTTTATGATTGCATTGCTTAATGCATTGTGATAAATAGAATAGGAAGTATAACTAAAGAAACTAACCCCAGAATTAAGTCACATGTAAGAGTACTTGCATTTATCTTCATTTTCTCTTCAGTTATCCATTTTATTTTAATAGTTCACAACAAAACCCCCTTCATCCAAACTAACTGGAAGAGTGGGTCTCCGCAAAGCCCATTTTTCGGATAACTCATGGTTTGCTTTCAAAGAAATGATTAAT